CATTCATTCCAGTGGTGGGATTTAAATTTTTTTACTACCGGTTCTGTGGGCGTGGCTTGGTGGGCGTGGCAGGGGAAGGATACTGTAAAATCTCCAGTCAGAGGTGGCATTTGCCGGTTCTCCAAACTACTCAAAATTTCCGCTACCAGTTCTCCAGAACGGGTCAGATCTGCTGAATACCACCTCTGATTCATTCATTCTTGCCTTCATTCATTCATTCATTTATTCTTGCCTTCATTCATTCATTGCCTCCCTCCTTTCATTAATTAATTAATTCTTGCCTCCCTTCATTCATTCATTTTCATTCATTCTTGACTTCCTCCCTCCCTCCCGTCATTCATTCATTCATTCATTCATTTTTGCCTCCATTCATTCATTTTTTCTTGCCTTCATTCATTCATTCATTCATTCATTCATTCATTCATTCTTGCCTCCCGTCATTCATTCATTCATTCTTGCCTCCCTCCTTCTCTCCCTCCCTCCCTTCTGGGTTTTGGTTCATTTTAGCTTTGATCCAAACCCATGTAATTATCTTCTAGTCTTTGACATTTATTTCCTTAGTCCTCAACTTACAACTACAACTGAGCCCAACATTTCTGTTGCTAATCAAGACAGTTGTTAAGTAAATTTTGTCCCATTTAACTATCTTTCTTGTTACAGTTGTTAAGTGACTCACTGCAGTTGTTAAGTTAGTAACACAGTTGTAAAGTGGATCTAGCTTCCCCCATCGACTCTGCTTGTCAGAAAGTCGCAAAAGGGGATCACATGACCCCGGGACACTGCAACAGTCATAACTACGAGTCAGTTGCCAAACATCTGAATTTTGATCAGGTGTCCATGGAGATGCTGCAATGGTCATAAGTGTGAAAAATGGTCATAAGTCACCCTTTTCAAGTAACTTGAAGCAGTCACTAAATGAATGGTTGTAAGTCAAGAACTAAGTGTATATGTTCCATGGAAAAGCTTGCCTCAGTTTTCACACTTTTTGTCAGAATTAATTGTGCTTACAGGTACTCCCTCAACCTTTAACCTCAACCCATCATAATTTCCTAGGCATTATTATTAACTGGCTGATTTTGCGGGCTTCTTTTTGCCCCTGTTGTTAAGCGAACTGCAATTCTTAATTAAATGGTCATTAAGCGAATCCTGCCTCCCACACTTTGCTTGTGGGAAGATTGCAAGTGGTGATCATGTGTGACCCCCTGGGACACTGCAACCATCATATAAGCACCTGGATTTTCATCACATGACCGTGGAGATTTCGGGAAAGTTGTAATTATGAGGACTTTTTTCAGTGCTGTTGTAACTTCGAATGATCCTTAAACGAATGGTTGTAAATTGAGGACTACCTTTGGTTAGTTTTCACACCTCACAACAAGCCACAATAAATCAGAATGGGTGTATATATGTGTGTTTCACACTCCAAAAAGATCAGGCAAGGATAAAAAATTAAATGTTGTTTTTTACACACATTTAAACTCAATACGGTTAGACTAAACCTTGATTTTTACCTCAGTTGAACAGGATTTTTGGTTCCAACAGATAAACCTTCATTCTCCCTTAATAGACACCATGCCTTCTTTCTAAAGTGGGTCAATTAACATAATCGCTGCCATTTGATGAAATTGATGGATGTAATTGACATAATTAGGTGGGTTCAGGTAAATTTATGTCATCGATGTCATTTGCACTCGGCAAGTGATGTGAATTTCGGCATATGACATCAATTATTCAGATAAACAGGCCCCAATGGAAGAGGTTTACACAAATGGTATAATTCTGGCAATTATTCACATTTGGATTTAATGAACCTCCCTTTAGTTATTGATTTATTAGACTGGTTTGCCACCCATCTCACCTAGAGGTGATGCCGGGCAGCTTAAGAACGAGACTAAAAAATAAATTTCCTGGCCTTGAGCTGTCAAATCAAGAACAAAAAAACAACAGAAGCATTCCCAGGTATCAAGCAGAGGTGGTTATTCAGCAGGTTCTGACCAGTTCTGGAGAACTAGGAGCGGACATTTTGAGTAGTTTGGAGAACCGGCCAATCCCACCTCTGACTGGCCCCGCCTCCATCTCTTCTCCGCCTCCCATTGAGTCCCAGCTGATTGGCTGGCTCTTCTTGGGTTGCCCTGCACAGGAGAACGGAGCTGGAAAGCAGGTGAGTGGGGTGGGAGGGAATGGGGATTTTGCAGTATCCTTCCTTGCCATGCCCACCAAGCCACGCCCACCAAGCCATGCCCACAGAACCAGTAGAAAAAAAAATTGAACCTCACCACTGGTATCAAATATCCCTTTGATTACACAAGTATCTCTTCGATTATTTTAAAATAATGATATGGCTCTAGGACACCGCAGTCAAAATTTGGTGGGGTGTGGCGGGGTCTGATATTTAAATCAAACTTAAGGTGTGGTCTTTAATGGAGTTGCATCTATATGGAGGGAAGGATGCATTGGGGTACCCCAAGGTTTTCTCTGTCTTAGGCCCAGGACTCTTCAACGTCTTCATCAAGGTAATTAGTCCGGCAGGGCAGGAGCAGGAATTCCAGACTGGAAGACACTGCCATAACTCAACGTGGTTGGGAAGACGCCAGGAACACAGACAACCAAAGTCAATAGAAGACAAAGTCAATAGAAACTCATGTTTGCTCCCAGCAGCGGCTGCACTCAGCATGCATTTCTTTTAAACACTCTTCCCAGCTGTGGTTAATGAAGGGAATCAGGGCCCTTTCCTCCCCCGTAAGCCACACAACCCACGTTGCTCCCTTCTCCATTTCTCCTTGAGTGCCCTACGATGAAGAAGGGATGGGCCTGGGTCTTCCTCTGAACTCCCTCTCCCTTGTTCTACCTCTCTCCTGCTCTGCCCAGCCGGACTTTGCCCTTTTCCAGACTTCTCCACAGCCAATGGAGCCACACTCCCACTCCCTGTCAGCTGTCCGGCTTCCTCCTCGGATTCAGACACATGGTTCTTAAGTGAATCTGGCTTCCCCCCTTGACTTTGATTGTCAGAAGGTCATAAAAGAGGAATCACATGACCCCAGGACTCTGTAACCATCATAAATGTGAGTCAGTTGGCAAGCATCTGAATTTTGATCATGTGACTGTGAGGTTGCTACAACAGTTGTAGGTGTGAAAAACGGCCCTAAGTCACTTTTTTCGGTGCCATTGTAAATCCAAACAGTCACTAAATGAACTCTTTGTAAACCCAGGACTACCTGTATAGCTTACAGTTAAGACACAGGGTTTTTTTTTGCTCCTTGTTTGGACTACATCAAAGGGCTAATACCCTGAGTCACTGGCCCCGGGGGCCCCGTCACTCGGATCAATCTAATATTGCTGATTTTAATTTTTCATAGGTAAAGTGAAGCGAAGTTGCACCGACCAAGGCTGGTCTGATCCGTCTCCACCGTATTCGGAAGCTTGTTCCATAGAAGATGACATCTCTCTGGATGAAGTGAGTGTGGGGGAATGTGAGATGAAGACCGAAACCCCACAGGTGTAGGGGAAACGTTTGATGCCTCTTAGGCTAAATTATGAGAGGAATTCTATCTCTGCCTTTCTATCATCCATCTAATCCTCTCTCTCCCTCTCTTTCCTCTCTCTCTCTATCTACCTAGTTGTCTGTTTGTCCATCATTTCTCTGTTATTTACATCTATTTTTGATCTCCTCCCCTCCTGTGTGTGTGTGTGTGTGTGTGTGTGCATGTGTGTGGGTGGGTGTGTGGGTGGGTGTATACAGTATATATATGTATATATTTTCTTAAGTTTTCGCGGGTGCTTACATGTATGGTATTCAGCTTTGTTCAGGTATTTTCCCAGGTCATTATAGTTGTGCTTTTAAAGTTGTAGCAACGTTTCGGCAGAATCTCATCTGCCATCATCAGGCTTCTGTATTGTGTTCGTCTGTGTGATATATATATATATATATTTGTTTTCGTAGATTTTCAGGGATACAGGTATGTAGGTCTAGGTGTGTTCGGGTCTTTTCCCGTGTAAGATTAAGAGTATCTTGGCAACGTTTCGGCGGGAGATACTCTTAATCTTACATGGGAAAAGACCCGAACACACCTAGACCTACACACACACAGACACACATATATATATATATAGGTCTAGGTGTGTTCGGGTCTTTTCCCGTGTAAGATTAAGAGTATCTTGGCAACGTTTCAGCGAGGTCCCACTTGCCATCCTCAGGCTGGTGCTTTCGGCTTAGTGCCAGTGCAAGCAGTGTGTGATCGGAGCTGCCGTCTCTCTATAAATACTTTTGGTGGGGGCTGGTGTGCTGGGCTGATTGGCTGCGCTGCTGCCTCTTGATTGGTTGATGGAGTTGATGTTGGTATAATGGGCTGTATGATGGCCTTGTGAGTTTTGTTATGGAGATATCCTGGCTCTTGTGCTGTAATCTCCTGGGTCGTTTGTTTTGTAGTGATCTATTTTCCATTAGCTTGCACTGGCACGAAGCCGAAAGCACCAGCCTGAGGATGGCGAGTGGGACCTCGCCGAAACGTCGCCAAGATACTCTTAATCTTACACGGGAAAAGACCAAAAACACCTAGACCTACATACCTGTACCCATGAAAATCTACACGCACACACACCCACACACCCACACCCACACACCCACACCCACACACACCCACACACACACCCACACACCCACACACATACACACACACGTATATATATATATATTCCTTCTACCTAAGTATCCATCCATCTATCCTCTCTACTATCAATCTGCCTATCTATCTATCTATCTATCTATCTATCTATCTATCTATCTATCCATCCATCCATCCATCTATCCATTATATATCTACCAATCTATCTATCTATCTATCTATCTATCTATCTATCTATCTATCTATC